GGTGGAAAATAGTTTAAAAAATAGATATATAATAGGCACTTTTTTCGTAAGGGTATAACTTTTCATAATAACCTAAATTGGCTTCCTCTCACAAAGCAAATGTTAATCAAAGGAAAAGCTCTAGTCAGGAGGGAGGGGGTGACTCCTAGGTGAACATTGGATGACTGATAACTACCAGTATGACATCACAAATGATTTTCAATATGGATTATAATACTCAATATTTATCTTTGAATTATGAATCAAGGATCAATTTCCACATCAAGGATAAAGACAAATATAAATGAAAATAAATATGTTAAATTAGAAGACCGTCTTTGTTATTGCTTACCGAATGCCGTTCGTGCGACAATCGATCTTAAATTTATGTTCTCGGATAAATAATTCTTTATACTTAAACTCAAGTGACAAGGTATGCATGGTTTTTCGTCCTTAATTTCTAAGTTATACAGAGATGAGGGTTTCCTTCAGTGATATATGCTTTACCAGATGGTTCTCGAAAACATTTTTTAGAATAAAACACGTGACCTGCTCAAGGTGATGATTTTTATTTCCATACTTTAGTGTTTGAGATCTGTCAAATTCTATACATTCCCAGAGCTCCTGAGATCTCACCATTTGAAATATATAATATATAATTTCTCACTTTCTGTAGAATCATCAAATGTATCAAGGTACAAGTTAGGGATGTGTAATGATGGACACTTCAGAGTGAAATCATCATCTCTGTCATTTGAATTTATGGTAATAATAATAATAATAATAATAATAATAATAATAATAATAATAATAATAAACTTTATTTAATGAGGGTTATGCAAGGCAGTAAATATACTGAAAAACCTGAGTGGCCCTTAATAAATAGTACAAATTAAAAAACTTATGACATTACATAAAAGCATTAAAGACTAACTATATAAGGAGTTATTTAAATACAACTATAATATCAAAGTTAAAATTTAAACTATATAGCATATTAAAAAACAGAGCAAAGATGAGGCTAGTTTACAAAATGCTTTTATGAATGGCATTAATCATCTCTTAAGAGGATTTACTTTTTAGTTGTTTAGCGAGACAGTTCAATGGTTGAAATATTACTTTGTTGGATGCCTTTCTAGTGTACATGCCTGCTTAGTAGAAGTCAAATCAGCCCACTTTGCGCCTTTTGTTTCAGGATTATTGTTACCCTTTTGTTCATCTGTTTTCACTAAATTGATAATTGAATCATTGATAAAACTTACAGGCAAAAATGTGTTTTGGGCGTAATTGCTAGATTTTCCCCTCTCAGGAGCCACAGTGTAATTGATATTGTCATGATCAGACCAAAAGTTGCAGGAATTATCACAGTCTTGTTACAGAGTGTAGCAGAAGAACTTTCAAACCAGCTATTTTAATTCATTCGTATTTGGAAGTATAGAGATGTTGTGATGGAGAAGAATTGCTTTGATTTTGTCAAGTTAATAAATTTTTGATAAAGATAAAAGACATTGATAGACTGAGTACCACAGATACAACATCAAGATATTGATTGGAGAGCAATTTGTTTAATACCCAGCAGAGCAAGTTATTTTGCCTTGTACAATTTTGATGGAACATTGAGAGAGTACTGAAGTTTAAAAAGCTTGCAAAGTAAAAGAAACAATAACCTCTAGTACAGTATGAAAAAACAGAGCAATCATCACAGAATGATGAATACTATAAATACCCTTGGGGACTGAAAAGCCAAGAAATGTCAAAAAAGACATCATACAACAGCAACAAGCCTGCTAAATAATAATTACATACAAAGCACTATAGTTTTATTCACCATGATATGGGAAAACAATATACAAGCAAATAAATAAAAAGCCAAAAACAGTACAATACAAAAAAAAACAGATTAAGACACAAATCAACACTCTTTAGCCTTTAGAAATAAGCAAACTAATGCAAGCCAATATCCTTTTCTTTCACCAGATTAAGACACAATTCCCTTTTTGCCTTTCGGAAATCAGCAATTTCAAGTCATTACCCTTTCGGTCTCCAGATTAACCTTTTAACTCCCAGAAGTGATTGATATAAAACTTCTGCCTATCATATCCATACGTTATCCCCCAAACAAGTAATGAGAGTACTCAAACTATACTCTACTCAAATAGATGTTGTTATCCTGATCTAACAGCAAATTATTAATTTTCAAGGAATTGTGTAGCAGCCAGAGGGGAGAATTAACAATCAGATCTTGGGAGTTAAAGGGTCAGGACAAAAGTCAAAACTCTGGCTATAGTGGCAATTTACAATACAGGCTCTGAAAAATTATCACAAGAGCACAAAGAGCGTTTAAAATAAAGAGCCACAAGCGAAAAAGATAACACAAGCCAACAAAATAAATAAGTAGAATCTTTGGATCTAACCAAGGTCTTTACAGCACTAGCAGACAAGATAAGTATCTAATCGTGGCTGACCACTAATAAACACCACGACAACTTCAAGGATTGAAGTTGTCGTAATATCGGCGTCATTTTCGATAACACCGTAATGATGTCTTTTCATATTAACAACATAGTTAAAGGGGCATTCC